TGAAGCAGTATTCCAGATGAGAACTGGCTCTACATAAAGACAACTAACCTTCTTAAACCCACTGACATTTAAGAGTATTTCATGACAAAGAGAAAGCACACGTCTCTTGGATTTGTTCCGCTTTCTTCTAAACATTATCTATGTTTTGTCTTCATTGTGCCAGAATATTTGTTGTTTTCTTGACAGATCTGTGACTGGAAGCCAACAAAAACAAAGCTGTTGTTGTTTTGACAGGCTGAAAAGCACTCAGTCGAATCCTAAATTAGTCATAGTTTGCTCAAAGGTTCTGTGAACTTGTTTTTAGTAGATTTAACTAAACGAGACTCAACCAGACACAGAAATGTTGCATAAAAATTTAGTTTGAAGCTATTTTGTACAAGTAGACCATTTAACAATAGGTACTCTTGYGTCTTTGTGAAACTAACTTTAAAAAGGACTACATTTAAAATAGATGTCTAATGACACATATCTAGCAGTGGGTAGTAGTGGAAAAGGTCATAATCTCAGTCAAGTTGAGGTCTGGACTACAGCATGCTGATTAATCTTATTTGCTGCTGTTCAGTTGTAGAATGTTTTTTAGTTAAAATTCAGCTTAGTTTTCTGTTAGGCACAAAGTAATATTTAACACAGACCAAAGGTGTATATGTAGCTTTTATTAGTTTTTATTGTATTTCTCATTTTTATGTCTGAAATCGTATGAATGTTTGCATTTGTGTTGTTTGTTTTATGGGACTACAGATGGAAATTAGTATTTTGCTAAATCTGGTATATTTATAACAATATTGTATGTACAATAATATGCACTTTCCCATTTCAATCAATCAATCAATCAATCAATCAATCAATCAATCAATCAATCAATCAATCAATCAATCAATCATTAAAAAACAGGATTCCTACAGCTTAAGGCAAGTTAAATATAAGACTTTTTAAGACCTCTTTAATGCCACTTGAAATTAAATTTAAAACCAACTTCACAATAAACACAAATGGAAAAAACCTCAGGACAATTTTACCACCAAAAAAAAACTTGCTGCGAGAGGCATTCACAACAATCAGCTCAATCTTCCTGACCATAAAACCTTTCTCCAGAAAGCGGTAAGCTCCACGTGGGTGGATACAAATATCAGGTGAGCTTCAAGATGTTGCTTTTGGAGCAAAAGCTTCTTTCTTGGTCAGCGCTCTCTCAGGCCATGATAATATAAAACTATCACTGTAGACAGTCACACAGGTCTTTTATTCATTCTGATTGATGATGTGAGCACTGTTCAACAATTTTATTTTTATGCTGACCAAGTGAAACRTCCACCATGGCGACTAACAGGTAGTTAACAGGCCTTAGCCTTGTCAAGTTAAAACACATACTACAACCTTCAGCACAAGTTACATAAATATTTGCCTTAGTGAATATTTGAATAAATTTAGGCCTGTGTGTGTGTAACTTGACCTTGTGTGGGATGAAGAAAATCCACAATAAATTCAAACTTGTGCACCCAGTTCTTGTTTTTAAAACTAAGATACGTTGTATCATCATTCAACCCTAAACAACCGTTAAAAAATCATCAAAAGACTTAAAACAATATGATATTCAGTCCTGTACGTCTTCTGTTCATCTGAGGGTGCAGTGCTAGGCTTAGTTCTGATAATCAGCTAACAACTAAGAGTGGAACTATTTTCTTGTTTAGCAGATTAGCCTTTTCACCGTGAAAACCAGCAGCGGACTAATTTGTTTCCACAAAATTAGGTTTTGCCAACTTTAAGTCTCCTAACAGCTAACTAACAAGCTAACATCGACAGGTTTATGTCAGTCCCACCAGTCTTCAGCTCCAAGGAGACAAAGACGTGTGACAGAGTGGCCTTAGCAGTTAGCAATYAGCTGTTAGCGCTAGCTTCTGCTAATTTTTACTCATTTACCATTGGCTTTCGCTATTATTTTAAATTAACTTGGTCATTTGTTTTTTTTTAACACGTTTAGCATTTTACTGTTAGGGAAGCTATATTTTTGTTACTGGATTATGAGTTAGTGAATCAAACTTTCTGGTTAGCTGTGCCCACCACTGTGAGGGCGTGTTTGTCAACTTTCAAAAAAATGATAAAAAAATAGAAAAACAAATTTTTTTATTATTTTTTATGATGTGTTCATACATTTTAAATGTACTGTACCAGTGAGGTGTATAGAATAGACGGTCATGGACGCACTGTGGTACGAGCGTGACGCCATATTGGAAGGGGCAGGCTGTCAATGTAAACAATTTATCATGGCTAGATTTTTATTTAGAATTGCATATAAATTTTAGTTTTTTTTTATTGGTTATCTTCTGCCTATTAGAAACACCATTCATTGCAGACATGTAATGGTAATGTTTTTGCCTGATATGATAGTTTTTATCTAATTCCCCTCTGGGATCAATAAAGTATTTTTGAACTGAATTGATGATTTGTACYGACAATTATTTCAATCAAATCMAAATAATGGTAGTCAATAGCAAACTGAGTTTCATTTACATGCTGTCATGGTTACCACATTCAKCTTCACCAGCTTGTCCTTGCCTCGAACAAMATGGCCGCTCTCTCCGACCAAGAAAAGTCACGTGATGGCGCCTCTAGCCAATACACCTCTTTGGAATGTATTTTCTTCCTCCATGTCTAATTGTTTGTACCTATTAAATAAGTGGCAACTTTTTTACTTTAGCTATAGAGCTACAAAATGTTAAAGCAACATTAATGAGGGGTTTAATTCCTGTGAGAGATGCTAAAGTCCAGAGAATTTTAATGCTTGAATACCTAAATTTGCCTGTGAATGCCTCCAGTACATGTTTGTAAATGTACAGTATGTCTGACAGTGTTATGGTTTGGTTACAAATGTAMATCTGTGCAACTCTTTCTACATGTGAGCAGCATCTGCATCACAAACCCTGGAGTCATCTACAGGTGAAGTCCAAACTGTGTTCCACCAGCTGGCTTCCTGCAACCTCTAAMTCAGCACAAAGAGTCCAGCGTTTATGAGGAGCCACTCAACCTAAACATACAATTTCCTCTTGTTACTCCAGAAACAAAGGCCCTTGAGGTGTTTCAATGGAAGTCAGTCATAGAAAAATAATTTTGTTGTGAGTATAGATTCTAACTACATTGATTGGAGTGTTCTTTACAGGCGCAAGTACTTTTGTCGGGAATCAGTTGACCTTTCTAGTGTCACTTTGTTGTCAGGGGAGTAAATCAATGCCACGGTCTGGCTTCTTCTTGAACGCAGTTAAAAACAAATGCAATTAGTCCTGAGAGTCCCCAACTTAGCAACTAATCAAACAGCTTTGCTGGAGTACAGGGGACAAATGGTGTTCAAGACTCTTACAGGGGCGCTGATCAATCCTCTGCAGTCTCGTCACACTGAGAGTGGAGGGTTCAAGCTGGAAGAAAGCATGACGGGTTTTTAAAGGGAATTTCTTTTTCTTCCCTTTTTTTTGTGGAAGAGTAAAAATGAATGAAATCAGGTGTCCTCCTGTGACCTGATCCCSATTTTCCATTATGGTCTCCTTTAATCACAGCGAGTGACAGGAAGCGATGAAAGGAAGGTTGA